AGGCCTTTGGGCTCTGTCTGCGCCTGCTGTGCTGCCTGCAGAGTGCGCATGGACCACAGTAGGTTCTTCGATCCGAACCTCCTCGCAACTTTACGTGGGGGAAGTGAAAACTGCAGCTTTAGCCAGAGCCACACAGGACTGAGAAGGAGCTTGTTTCGATCCTTAGCAGCTAGACGGATGGTGTTTCCAGCCTGCTGTCCCGCTAGTCTGTCAGGAGGTTACATGCACTGAATCTGGAAACTGAAATCCTTTTGTATTTAACCTGTCATTAGTAATCACATGTCCAAATTTATCTTACAGCTGTGGCGCTCTAAGGAGGACTGATTTTTGTAATGACAGAGGCCCAGGGCTGTCAGCATGGAATGGACCCGGGAGCAGCTGCCAGTCTGCAGCGATTCTCGCCCATCTGCTGTGCAGATACCACAGGGAGCTCCATGGTGCTTAGATAAGTGATAAGTGCCTCCCCAGCAATGCAGGGTCCTGGTCCTGCATCCCCATAGAGACCTGGGATCTGGACGTGGCTCTGTACCATTACATGCATTGAGACCAATCTCTTGTCTTTGAACATGGGTTTGTGACCCCATTGTCCTTTTAATAAATAATGGAAAAGCAACTTCAAAAGTTGGGTCCAGCTCCCCAGCAAGCAAATGATGCATCTCCCAGCATCCTCCTTGGGCCGTTGCAAGTCCCTGGTAAACCCCTCTCTATATGAACTTCAAAAGGAGCGAGCTGTCATTTGAGAAAACGATGGACAAAAGCACCAGCATCCTGGGAGTGCAGCCTGGTGGTATGCCTATTATCAGCTGCTAAGCAAAGTGTGTTTATTTTAGCACAAAGGCACTAGTGACTAAGCTTGAAATATTCTGAAATTGGTGCTGAAATGACCTCGAGGTCATCCTGAAGGTCCCACAGCTAAACAGATTAGACAGATGTGTTAGGGATGAGCAGTACATAAAACAATGAGGCTCAAACCTCCTGTCAGGAAGAGGATCATGAAATCTTGTAACAACAGGTGAAGATGGTAGGGTTGAAATGCCGAAGCATTTTAACTGTCTGAATTTTTTCAGGTGAGAGATTAGCTAAATTCAGGGTGAAGTGAAAATGAAATACAGTCAGGAGCCAGCAGCTTAAGACATGTAGTAGAGCAGTTGATCCTGAAAGCAGCAAGCCACACATTAATATTCCTGGGTTTATTAAAGGATATCGTCTCTGTAGTCATCATGATGCATATTTAAAGTAGGCAGTGATCAATATGTGATTCCTTATATGCCATTTAAGTTCTCAATTCTTCCTTTCAGTGAAATTGGGACAGCATCTCTGTGCTCAAGTGAAACCTCTTCCAGCCTCTGCAGGCACAGAGTTGGAAGTATCGCTTCTGAGAGGGACTTGTTTAATTTAAGGCGCTGTCCTGTGGCAGGGAGCTCAGCACAGGGACAGAAGCTGCTGCCGCCCTGCTCTGCGCTGTGGGACAGTCCCAGCACGGTTTGTTTTACTGGTGTGGCTGCAGCCAGAACGTGCATTTCCTAGCTCCACTGGGATGGTTCCCAGCGCAGCCTGGGGAAGTGAGCTTTTCCTGCATCTTGCCTTCCCATGTGTAGGAGGGGATGCTTCCTCATCTCAAAGGGGTGGTAGGAGGAGAAGTACATCCCAATGTGGGCAGGGAGAGGCTGAGAGCAGCAGAGAAGAAATTGGCTCTGTTTGCATGCACTGCTCCTGCGGCAGCTGCAGGGGTACCTAGTTACTTGCTTTTTTGGCAAATTTCCATTTACACTTCTGCCAGGGGCTTAAAGAGAGTTGTGGAGAGGAGCTAAAAATAGTCAGAATGACAACTTCTTCCCCAAAGAAAGTAATTAAATCATCCCCCCCTTTCCCTCAAAGTGCTCTTGGTGTCAGCACCTCTTCTTCATGGGCCCATGTAATGCCAACAGCCAAATTGTAAATCCTTTATAAAGGGGTTTATCCCTCTGCTGAATGACCTTGCAGCAGAAGCCCAGACACAGTGCACCGGCTGTGGCACCTTCTCTGAAGGTCTGTTGCCATCAGTCTTGACCTGCTAATGTCACAGTGTTAAAAATATACCGGGTACAGAATGGCCGGTAAATGCTGGTTTTGTCACCGTGGAAGAATGACGTGGTGGCAGTGATCCAAACCTCATCCCCTCTGCTGTGACGGCTGCTGCTCACGCACCGGCCATCATCCAAAGAAGTGTCTCCTCATTGCATGGCTCCACGCGTATGTTTTTCCTCACTGCTGCCAGCTTGTCTTTAAGGAAAGACATTGCATACAGGTGGAAAGTCTTTTGGGCACCTGCCCATTGCATTAAACTGGAGCCCACGCTACTGCGTAATTTAAAATCGAAGTTAAATGGTTTTTGTTTGTTTTTTGTTTTTAGGAGTGCCAAATCCCAATGCTGTATTGAAATCAGCAGGAGATTTTCGGGGGTACTTCTTGCTGCATTAGGCTTGTTAACTCGCTTAGGACCACCATTGACAAGGGTGCTGCAAATCCCAGATATCCCCATGCCTCTCCTTCCCCTCCTCAGAAGTTGGGACTCTGCAACTGCCGGCAAGCATGCCGGGCTTACCTGTGGACAGGCAGGCATGCAGGAGGGGTTATCATACAACCCCTGGGTTATAGACCGCAAAGCTAATGCATCCAAGATTAGATGCTTTTTATTTTGGGCTCCGGGTCCTGTTCTGGTGTCAGCATCAGAGTGGGTGAGAGACATTGGAGCGTGATGCTTTCAGGTTTGTCAGGTTTTCTTCCATGTCCCGTCCAACGTCCACATCGGTGCAAGGATGGGCTGGACTCCAGGTAACGCGGTTGTCCCCAGCGAGGGTTAGAGGAGAACAGGAGATGACGAGCATGTTGGGGTGGCACGCTTCTGGCTCCTACGCCACCCGTAAACACGCAGCTGAACAACGCCTGCAGGTTAACCACGAAGCTGCCGCATGTGCAAACTGGGGCTTGTTCCTTGAGAAACGCGCTGCCATGTCCTCCACCCACCTTGCTGGCTGAAACCTGGGCAGGGAACTGAGGGCTACTGGTGAAATGTTGGTCTGGCTGAATTCACTGGCAAAACTTTAGAGCTTCACTGGAGCATCTCCATTTCCCGAGGAGCAGTGTGAGTTATTTCCCAGCCTGAGAGTGCCCTCTGGCGTATGCAGGAGATGGTAAAGGTCTTAATTTATTGAAGTGGTTTTACTTGGCTTCCTTCTTTTCTTAATACTTTGCAGCCAGCATTGTTAATCGTTGAAGGCTGCCAGGTAAGGGCATGCCATAAAGCACCAAGGGATGAGCTCCAGACCAGTCCTGAGTGTTGTCTGTATTTATACACCTAGCAGCTGATGATCATTTTTTAATTATACACACATATCAAGCAGGAGACTTCTGGGCCCTGGTGTCTCGATTCCGATTTCCTTCCAGCAATGCCTGGCAGGTCCCCGAAACCGGCCTGCAGCAGGTCCTGCTCTGACTCTGTCTGGGCAGTGCTGCTCCCCCTGCCCCAGGCACTGCCTCTGGGCATGCGCTTGGGGCTCCTTGACCGAGCAGAGCAAGCAGAGCTGCTCCAGGGCTAGGCTGCATTTCAAACCCGTGGCTGAATAGGGAAACCTGGCTGCAAAGAGGTAGGAGCAGCTTTTTATAAACAAACAAAATCTAGCCCTTTTTTCTGGGGGGAAGGCAGGGCATTTAGAAAGAAGAGGTGGCAGCGTGAGCGTGCATTGCCATAGTTATGTGGAACTGAAAACAGACGGCGAATGTGAGGCATAAACACAAAAGCTGCAGTAAATACAAATCTTCCCCATGTGTAGAGTCCTTTCTTGGAAAAACTTTGTCATCTTATCTCTGTTAGGACATTCTGGTTTGAAAAAAAAAATTTTTTTTTAATGCTTTCAAATTTTTGTTGGCAGCTGCAATAATGAATTTGCTGGTAGGGAGCAGAGAGAAGTGTGTTTGGCGTTCTGGTGTTGCGCTCTGCTGGAGGCAGACCAAGTGGCTGGGTATTGCAGTGGCTTATCTGGCAGTTGCTGGGTGAAGGCACCTTCTAGTGGAACAGCATGGAAGGTGACATTTTAAGGAACGATGTCAAGTGTGGATCACCCTCTGCATGCCCTTTCTTCTGTTTTGGGCCCGTCACTACAAGAAGGACACTGAGGTGCTGGAGCGTGTCCAGAGAAGGGCAACGAAGCTGGTGAAGGGTCTGGAGCACAAGTCTTAATGAGGAGCGGCTGAGGGAACTGGGGTTGTTTAGCCTGGAGAAGAGAAGGCTGAGGGGAGACCTCATCACGCTCTACAACTACCTGAAAGAAGGTTGTAGCGAGGTGGGGGTTGGTCTCTTCTGCCAAGTAACAAGCGG